CGCTTTGGAGGTCTCTGGAAGGAACTACCTTAAGTGGGTCCAAGATGTGAAGCTTTACCTCACTGTAAAGAATTTGTGTCCCGCCATTGAAGATGAGATGGATAACCCGGTTGGCAAAGCTGAGAAAGTCACTGCCATGATCTTCATACGAAGACATATCCATAATGCATTGCAAACCGAGTACCTTGCTGAGGAGGATCCATGAGCACTATAGGTCGTTTTGGCTGATCGCTTTAATCACCAAAATGACATGTTCTTGCCTGAAGCAAGACATGACTGGCAGCATTTACGCTTCCAAGTCTTTAAGTTTGTGAATGAATATAATTATGAAGTTTGTCGAATCCGATCACTTCTTAAGTTTTGTAACGAAACTTTGACCAAAAAGGATCTCCTGAATAAGACCTATTTGACCTTCTATGTTACCAATATTGTACTGCATCAACAATATAGAGCTCAGAAGTTTATCAAGTTCTCAGATTCGATCTCTGTTTTACTTTTCGCTGAAAAGCAGAATTAGTTGTTGATGAAGAATCATTAAGCTCGACCTATTAGGGCGACTGCTGTTCATGAAGCACACTCTAGCACAAAACAATGTCCAAAATGCCAAAAGAGGCATGGTAATGACGGCTAGAAGCCACCCCGTCAATGTCAACAGAGCCAAGGCCTATCTAAGGGAAGAAACAAAGCCCAAAAACGCCCAAACCTCGCTCCTAATGCCCCAAACTTCAAGAATAAGGGCAAAGCACATGAAACCATGGATGTAGACATGTGCTATTATTGTGGTTCAAAGGACCATTGGCATGATGGTTTGGGACATCCTGGACAAATAACGATGCACTGTATCCTCAAATCATCACATGGGCATCCACTAACCCGAAGCTTAGGTTCAATTCAAGGAATTATATGTTAAACATGTTCTATAGGAAAGGTTATACTAAGCCTTCTTATGACAAGATTCGCTCGAATCATTCCATTTTTCTAAAAAGGATTGAGAGAGACATTTGTGCATCGATTCACTCTCCATGTAGACCATTTAGATATTTTATGGTTTTGGTTGACGCTTCCACACGTTGGTCATACGTGTGCTTGTTGTCCACAAGGAACACTACATTCTCCAAACTGTTGGGGTCAGGTTATCAAGTTCAGGGCTCACCACCATGATTATCCGATCAAATCTATTCGATTGGATAATGCTGGAGAATTCACATCTAAAACTTTTGATGACTATTGCATGTCGGTTGGGCTTGAAGTTGAACATCTAGTATCCCATGTTCACACCCAGAAGGACCTGGCAGAGGCATTCATTAAGCACTTACAAATGATTGCTCGATTGTTGGTCATACGTACCAAGCTCCCGATCGCTGCTTGGGGCCATGCAATATTGCACGCAGCCATGTTGGTCTGCCTGAGGCCTGTTGCGACCTAACCATATAGAGCCATTCAGTTGGTTATCGGATACAAATCTAACATATTGTATCTACGCGTTTTTGGTTATGCGGTCTATGTGTCGATTTTGCTGCCCTTACGTACAAAAATGGGGCTTCAACAAAGGATGGGAATCTATGTTGGATATGATTATCCTTCGATCATTCGTTACCTAAAACTTTTGATAGACGATCTGTTTATCGCTCGTTTTGCGGATTGTCACTTCTATGAGACAATCTTCCCGTGGTTAGGGGGAGATAAGAACGTCAACATTCTTGAAGAACGCAGTGAATTATCGTGGATGACTCCCACTTTGTCACATTTAGATTCTTGAACCGTTCAGTCTGAAACTGAAGTGCATCGCATATTAGATCTCCAGAGCATAGCTCAGAGCATGCCAAATGCTTTCATCGATCTAGTGCGAGTGACAAAATCACATATTCTAACTGTGAATGTGCCTGCAAAGATGCATGTACCAAATGTATGACGAACTTCCCTCCTAGAGGCCTAGGATGCCAACTTTGGTGAACTACGTACATTAGCGACTAGCCAATCATCTGCCTTTACATAAAAACATGGCAGACCTCTTGGTTTAAAGGATTCACACCCTCAAAAAGAGGAAACCCACGGCACAGGCCCCAAAAAACCTACCGTGAATCCAACTGTCGCTTACTCATTACATCCAACTCATGAGGAAATTCTAGATTATGGAAGCGTCATTGAAGAGATGAATCCTCTTCCCGAGAATCGTGAGATTTCAGTCTATTATGCTAGCTTAGATGATATGTGTTGTAGAAATGAGACGATCGTCGACGATGCATTAGCACATACAGTAGCTACTGAAACCATGTTGAGCAATGACATTGAACCCCTTCTCGTTGATGAATGTCAACGTAGAACTGATTGGTCAAATTGGAAACAAGCAATATAAGTCGAACTCGATTCACTTACGAAACGTAAGATGTTTGGACCTGTAGTTCTTACTCCTCCATATGTGAAGCCCATTGGCTACAAGTGGGTTTTCGTTTAAAAGCGTAATGATAAGAACGAAATTGTGTGTTACAAAACTAGTCTTGTTGCACAAGGCTTCTCACAACGCCTCGGGATTGACTATGACGAAACTTATTCAGCCATTATGGATGTGATTACTTTTCGTTACCTTATCAGTTTGGTAGTTTCTAAAAACTAAGTATACAGCTGATGGACGTAGTAATTGCGTATCTCTATGGGGATCTTGATACTGAAATTCAAGAACTTACATTGACTAAATCAAATATTTCCAAACCCCAGAACACTCTTTCAATTCGACTAAGGCGTTTACTTTACGGTTTGAAGCAATCCGGAAAAATGTGGTATAACCGTCTGAGCGATTATTTGATTAGTTAGGGATATGTGAACAACGAACTATGCCCTTGTGTGTTCATTAAGAAGTCACATTCTGGTTTTGCGATAGTTGTAGTATATGTCAATGACATGAATCTTATCGGAACTTTTGAAAAGCTCGCGAAAACTACCGTGCATTTGAAGTTAGAATTTGAGATGAAAGATTTAGGAAAGACTTGATATTGTCTCGGTTTCGAGATAGAGCATTGTTTGGATGAAATGTTAGTACATCAAACGAACTACACTCATAAGGTGTTGCGTCGCTTTAATGAGGATAAAGAGAAGCCTTCGAGAGCTCCTATGGTCGTTTAATCGCTAGATGCAAAACGAGATCCCTTCCGTTCGAAGGAAGATGACGAAGAAATTGTGGAACCTGAAGTTCCTTATCTAAGTGCGATAGGCGCTTTATTGTACTTAGCTCAATGCACTAGACCAGACATTTCATTCGCTGTTAATCTTTTGGCAAGATATAGTAATGCACCAACACACAGACACTAGACTAGTGTTAAAGATATTTTTTGCTACCTTAAGGGTATTACAGATCCTCGAGTGATATCACACACCCTGCTTTTCAAGTCGATTATCGCCTTGTTGGTTATGCTGACGCATGATATTTATCTATCCGCACATAGTGCATTCTCAAACAGGTTATTTTTTACCGTTAGAAGCACCTCAATTTCTTGGAGGTCAACTAAACAGACCTTAGTTACCACTTTGTCTAACCATGCTGAAATTCTCGCCTTACATGAAGTAACTCGGGAATGCTCTTGGTTGAGAGCAGTTGTGGGCCATATTCGAAGCTCATGTGATCTTTACCCCGTCGTGGATGTCCTGACGACGATCTATGAAGACAATGCAGCATGCATTAAACAACTCAAGAAGGGTTACATCAAATGAGACAACACCAAGCACATTGCGCTCAAGTTGTTATTCTCACATCAACAACAAGAGCATCAGAAGATTGAAGTCACACAAACATGTTCACAAGACAATCTGGCCAACCTCTTCACCACCCGAAAGCGACGTTTCAGAAGCTTGTTCATGGAATTGGTATGCGTAAACTTTCTGAGTTGTAACATTATTATTTCTCTTTGGAATTGTGTCAAACTCAGAGGGAGTTTCCTGAAGTATACTTGCTTGATCTTAATGTACTATTTTTCCTTACGATCAAGAGCATTTTTCCCACTGGGTTTTTGCAACCTAACTAGGTTTTAATGAGGCACCCACCTTGGGTTGATCATATCCCTGATGACGTCTCATAGACGTTTCATTTGACTTTGCCTTACTCATACATTTTTCCTTAGACAATGGATTTTGTCCCTACTCAAATTGTTTCCATAACCTTAGGGTTTTTTAGTGAGACTTACTTCCTTATGTTCCTACCTTATTGAGAATAACATTGTTCTTAGAATCAGTATCGACGAGTCGACTTTCTCAACTTCTACATGATGCTGAGTCTACCTTGAGTATTTACACACTCAAGGGGGAGTGTTGTAAACTTTCCTAGTTTAAGTGTGATTGTGTAAATCCTAGATTAGATTTGATTCTACTTATTCTTTCCTATATGAACTTGTATTCCTTGGGGATGAAGGATTTCTTCTCCCTCTTATTACTATAAATAAAGGCACTACGTAGGAGGGAATAACACACATTCCCCTACAATTCTACAAACACATATCTCTCTATTTTCTCTCCCTTGCCGCTGGCCCTCCTTCCCCTATTAGTTAAATATAGGCGACAACAATTTTTACGAGAATTTCAATTAATTTGAGAGTAATATTATGTAGACACATATAATTGATCATATTACTAATAATCTCGACCCACTTCTACTAGGGTAGTGATAAGTCTTATTTTCAAGGTAGGTTGAAATGAGAAATTAAAAATTTGTGGTGGACTTGACGATAGTAGATGAACTACTCAATAAAAAAAATTATTCATTCAAATCCTGCCCAAATGAGAGGATTAGAAGGAAAACGTTTCCTTCATATCTAATATCCTCCTAATTCTCTCAAAATAAAAAATTTATTCTCCTCTATCTTCAAAAGCCATAAAATCCAGAGGATTATTCATTCAAATCCAAGCTTCTAAGGCTGTAGCACAAATATTCTGCATAAGAGAGTGGAAAAATTGAACATGACTTTGAAACTTTAAGCAAAGCTTTGCCCTGTAGGAAGGGATCTGCACTCTTGTTGGGCTTTTCATTGGGCTCGATTGAGGTCAGCCCTCACCAATCTAATCCAACATAAACACAGAGCGACGTCGCTTCGTAGAGCCAGAAACCTCCTCCTCTTTCCGTTTGGAGAGCAAAGCAGCTTCCTCAACCTCAACGAGCAATTCACACTCCAAGGTAATCTCATTTTTGATTTATTCAAAGTTACGCTTTTTAAATTGGAAAACAAAATGAAAACGGGAAGGTCCTTGTTTCGGCTGATTAGGGCATAAATTTGAATTAGGGTTCGATAGATGTGTTTGGGTACTGTGAATATTGGGTTTGAATCAATTTTAGGAACGGAATTCAGTCTTTTTGCAAATTTAGTTGGGAAGTTGGAGCCTTTGGAATTGGATATTAAAAGTTTCAATCCATAATTCTGAAATTGGATTGCTTTATTAACTGAAACTGAAATTTACCTCTAAATGTGATCAAAGAAACTGAAATTATACCCAATAAAACTGAAAATTTACCTCTAAATGTGAATTGGAGTTAGGGTTAGGAAACATATGGGTTTTAAGCAGACAGGTTGATATTGCATTGCAGATGAAGTGAAAGGCATATGTTGTGTTTCTTGTTATGAAAGTAAGAATACCTTTTCGGTTTCAATAAAGATAACTGTGGAGTCTCTCATGTTCTGCATTCTGTTGTTCTTAGGTATGTAAACTTGAAAAAATGAATAATGGATGAAATTTTTTCTCAATTTTATACTGAAGTGATCCCTGGTTCATTATATTGTGATGCAGAAATATTTGCATCAGCTGTACTTCTATTATCCTGTTTATCTTGCGGAAAGTTCTAAATGTGAATTTTACGAAGAAACAGAAACATTTAAATAGCTTGATTTCTGTTTTATCAGATTCGCCTTTGAAGAACGTTAGAGTGGTCTGAGATGGATGCATCACAGAATACAACTGGAATTGGTGGGAGTGGCGGAAACGGAACGTTGGTCCCTCAAACCAATGATACAACTGGATCGGCAGCGGTTGATGATCCAAAGCAAAACCTGAATCAGGTCATTAACTCTATTCAGAAAACTTTAGGCCTCATTCACCAGCTCTACCTCACGGTGTCTTCGTTCAATGCCGCGTCTCAGCTTCCCCTTCTCCAACGCCTGTAATTTCTCTGTCTGAGCTTATTCAATGTTTATTCAAACCTTTTTTTCTCAATATATTTTATTGTTGCTTGGTGACTTTCTCACATTGGGTATGACCTATTAGAAATGCCCTTGTTATGGAGCTTGACAACATGGCTAAGCTGTCAGAAAAATGCAATATCCAGGTTCCTATGGAAGTTTTTAAGTGAGGCTTCTCCTGTCATTTGCTTTTAACAACTGACAATTCCTTTATTGTGGAGAAGTTCTGACTTTTGTCTTATTTGTTTTGCCTAGTTTGATCGATGATGGGAAGAATCCTGATGAATTCACGAGGGATGTCATTAATAGCTGCATTGCTAAGAATCAGATCACTAAAGGAAAAACTGATACCTTCAAGGTAGCTTTTCCCGTGTGAAAATTATTGTTTAGCTCCATTTCGGTGTTTGAAGTTTGTCATGATTCAACATACTATGCACATTTTGTCAGAGTTTACGCAAACATCTTCTGGAGGAACTTGAACAGACATTTCCGGATGAAGTTGAATCTTACAGAGACATACGTGCTGCATCTGCTGCTGTAAGATACTTTGAATTCGCCCAGAAATATCTTCATAAATGTCCTTTGGTTAAGCATATTGTTTTTGTCTAAATTAAGTGAAGATAGTCTTCAATGGACCCTTTCATCCCTTTTGGCCTTTCTTCCCTTTGGTCATTCGTCCATATCAAACAACCTTTCTCTGGAGGTTTACCTATTTTCAATTAAATCTGCTACCGATGTGTTAACAAAAGCTCAGCAGAAGCCAGCTTGTTTGTGTTTATTGTCGATATTTCATTCTCATTCTCTGAGAAAACCGGAGCCTTCTTTGGAAGCATCCATATTACCATCTCCGTGTGTTTTTTTTTTTGTCTCTTTGGGTGTGTTCAATTATCATCCTCATATGGTAAACTCTTTTTGTATGATACAGGAAACAAAACGGCTTGCACAAGCACAGAGCACACTACCAAATGGAGATGTGAAGGTCAAGCCGGAGCTTTAAGTGTACGATATGTTTATGTATCATGTTCTTACTGTCCACGTGTTGGCATGCTTTTAACGGCTGCTCAACTTTTCATGACTCTAGCGATAAAAATCATTTGTGTCTACACCTATTTGCCTGAGACTTTGTCAATTTACTTCGTAATATAGTAACAAGGTTTGTATAAATCATGTTATTGCGTCGTCTTGTTTATCTTTTGTGAAGTTTACTCGTTTGGGTGCATGATGTTAACAACCATACTTAATTTTAGACAGGAGATTGTGTTGGTCTTTTGAGAATTGAGTACAATTCAAATAGTTGTCTGTAGGTTAGGTTAGGTTCAGGCTTTCAACTGGCAACCAAACTAATGAGATACGGTCCGATTTGGTTCGGTTTAGATCTATAACTAAAAAATCCATTTAGTTACTGATTTGGTAATTAAAGTGGATATGTTTTGGAAGAAGCTTGTCGCCCGATTGGTCAACAGTATCCATCTTTGTACCTGAGATTTCGAGTTTGAATTCTCCATCACTAGCATCGCTTGTATAAGAAACTAATTGGACTTGCTTAACATTTATACTGTCAAATATAAAGTTGGAGCCTAAATTCAGAAGGGTTTATGATTTGGGCCTTCAAATTAACCCGCTACATTGTATTCCTCAATTTTGGAAACCAAAAAACCCAACAAAATAATCTGATAGTGAAAACTTGGGAAAATGATTCTTGCCGGATTCTTTTCCTGGGATTCTAGGAATTTTATAATCGTGATTGTTCATCGTACATCGTGCGGTTAGAAATCATTTTAAAATTTGAAATTAAATATAAATAGTACCAACGAAAACTGACCACATGATATACGATAAACGGTCACGATTACAGAATCCCTAAGATCCCTAATAAAAGAATCCAACGAGGATCCTTTTCCGAAAGCTTGCCCACAAACCAAACAAAATTGGAAATTAAAATAACAGTCCGAACTGACATATTGGGACTGGTAGTTTTTTTAAACAACAGTATTGCCAAATGTTTTGCCAGTAATCTGTCTCCAGCAGCACCTGTCTGTCTCTCAGATGTTTCATTGGACCATGTATATAAAAACCAAATTCGAAGACAGATGTTTCATTGGACCATTTATATATAAACCAAATTCGAAACCTAATCCGTCGTGATGTGTATGTCTGAGTTTGGAGTTTGAAGTTTGCAAAAAATTGTAAAGTTTGCAAAGTTTGAAAGTACACACACACACACACACACACACACATATATATATATATATATATCTTATTTTTAACCACGTCCTCTAGAACTTGATTTTAATCTCATTTTACTCTCTGTAACTCAAAAATTCTCACTTTATTTCTTGAAACTCAAGTTTGCTTCACTTTGTCCCCTGGAACTCTTGATTCCATTTTTACCCTTTGGAACTCGATTTTGATCTCATTTTGCCCCTTGAAACTTGAAAGTCGTCTCTATAAAACTCAAAATTCTTCACATTGTCTTAGATTTTTTAATTTCTTATGTGGATTTGATTTCGGTGCGCTAGTCTAATCATTTTATTTTTTTCATCTCTTGAATTTCTTTTAAACTTAATATGATATGATTGTTGGATGTTAATGTAAAATGGAGATTTATAATCAAATTTATTGTACATGTGGCATAGTCTTATTGGGTGTTCGGTCCCACATATGTTTCCGGAGGCGGCCTATAAGTTTTAGGGAGAAGAGAGAGTCCACAAGTCAAAATGGAACGAATTTTGAGTTTTGGGGAGTAAAATTATGACTTTTTAAGTTACAGGGAGTAAAGTAAGATTAAAGTGGAGTTCCAAGAGGCATAACTAAAATTAAGTGTATATATATATTGGGGGTGGAGTGGTGGCACCACATTTCTTACACAATTTTTGACACAACTTATAGGCCATTAGATTCATACGTTTTCAATGGTTGCGATCGAATGTTACTTGTCAATTTAATTTTTTATTTAAATAATTAATTATGATCCAATCATATATAAATTAATTATCTAAAACTTATGTCAAAATTTATGTAAAAAATGTAGTGCCACGAATCTAACTTATATATATATATATATATTATATTAAAAATAAAATAAAGACCCCCCACCCATATTTTTGTTTTATTTTCTACGTTGTGTAGTTCGCGAAGAATCTTGTTTGCTCAATCAAGGCCGGGCCAGCTACTCGGTTTGGGGTGGGAGAAATACAGCGAGTGCAAAAAGGGCCGTCACCTTTTTCACCCTTTTACAGATTACAGCTACTCTTACACATTCATTTTCTTAAAGTTTAATTTGTATGAGAATGAGGCCAATTGCTTCATTCTTTAAAAGCAAACGACCTTATTTTAACCAAGGGGAATTACTTTAAGCTTTTCTGCTTACAAAGTGCTTTCAAATTCAGCTTAATAAGTATTTGATTTGAAAAAAACTTTGTAAATGTTTATGAGTTGATGATTAGTGAGACCCCTATTTAGAAGTATTATCCAATGATTTCCTGCCCAGTATGGACTGAGTAAAAAATAAAACTACTAGTCTCAATCCATACACACGCACTAGGTTTTTATGATTGGGGTAACTCAGGAAACACACCAGCCACTAACCAAATGTTAGGTGGGGTTTGCTTTTGTGTTATGGCTTCGCATAGTTGTATTAATGTCTGGTGCAGTGTCAAGCAACACAATTATGATTCCACTTAGCGAAAGCGGATACATAAACTTAGTCCGAACAATAACAACATTATGAATAAAGTCAGGAGACGCCTCGAGGGCATCATGAGTTTAGAGAGAAACTATATATTAAATCCTCAATTTCCATCACAAAATTGCATGAATCATAGAAAAGATATAAGTTGAGATTACAAATTGGCCACAGCAGGTACTGAGGTGTGTAAATGAATTTTTGGAGAGGAAATGGAGAGAGAGGAGACAATGCCGTTAGTATGTGTGGTGGGAATTGTGAAAGAACAAAAATCTAGGTGACGTTTGGTGTCCGACTAAAGATGCTTTTAAGGTCAATCACCATGAATTTAGGGAGCTCGGGAAAAGAGAAATGCTAATCTCATGAGATAGGGTCAAAGAGGTGACTTCAGGTCAATGGACACCTTGTTTATGTGGTCCTGAATCCAACCAAAATGTTGGCATGCTTCCTATTAATTGTGTTCTCTTAACTTTTATTCTTTGGATTGCCTAATCCTGATGAGAAAAAAATAGTTGTAAAGGTGAATTGGAGAAAGGAGAATCGAATTCGAGACTTCAAGTACAGGAAGAATGTTCTTAATCAATCGAATTACAAAACTCTTATATGTTGTTTAAATTTATACTGTCCAATAGTTTAATAGCTATGCATTATATACATAATATGGTTGTTACTTGTAAAGATGTGTACGTAAACTTGATTTCTGATTTTGCTCAAACTTGTTTATCTTATTCAATCAACTTGGTCACCAATTAAGCACCTGCATTTTCAAAATTGTGCTTCTGTCGTTCCTGTGGGTTCCTTGACAAAGCTTGAACGCTAGCTTGTAGCCAAATGATAGTTGATCTATAACTTGAAGGGCCATCGCCTTATATTTTGTCATATGTGCTACATGATAAATAAACGTCTATGGATTTGACAACTCATGCCTTATAAATTCATAAGCAAAGAAATATCATAAATGGTAGAAAGAGGGTTTGAATCCAGAACACACATTGAGTAAAAAAAAAGTACATAAGATTTTTGTTTAGAGAAAATAAAACTTTATTAAGAACAATAAACGTACATAGAGCATACATGCCAAATGAAAGCAAGAGGCAACACATAGTTGAAAGAAACACCACAACTTTACAATTAGTGCTCACCAGGAATTCGATACAATTCATTAGCCACATCAACCAACATGAAAGATAACACTCGTGAGAAATAAATCTTGCAAATTGTTGAACTATCTACCATAAAGGCATCATTAAAAAGGACTACACTATTCATTTGATGAATGCAATGGTTGACAAAGAAGTATTGCTCTGATTCACCAACAAAAGTCGAGCTTCCTCGTCATAGTCTTTTGCCATGCCCACAAAACCATAAGAAATACAAAAAATATCATCTCATATCTAAACAACATTTACCACTCAAAAATCCAAGTTTGATTATAGATGCTTAAAGGCTCTACTCAACATTGTGAGGGATCAGTGATAATCACGATGACTCTTCTCATCTATCACGAAGGCTTTTCTTGCCTGCGCGAAAGAGCAGCCACAACTAGGAGTTAAAAGACAATTACAACATAAGATAAATATGGGAAAATAGGGAAGATACCAAGAGAGATTGAGCCGACCCCAATGCCAAGGGAAAGGATTTGGATAATTTTTTTCTCTGTTTTTCTCTCTAATGGCTAGAGTTTTCCCAAAATTACATAAGAATGGATTCTACAATCTGTACACTCATTTAATTAAGATTTACTTTAACCAAAGAAAAGGGTAACAAGTCACAATATCAGTAAAAATGGGGTAGATCAATGCTTTTAGTTAGTAATTGTTATTTTTTTTATTAAGTATAGTAGAGACGAGAGAGAAGCTAATGTGTCAATAATAACCGATAGCAATACTAGCATTACTAGTCCACGTGTTTATAATTATTGATGGTAATTGACTTTAGAACGATTAATGGTTAAAAGACAATGATTAGGTGAGCTAAAACTTCATTTAACTAAATTCAATTGATCAAACAAAGAAGTATAACCAAATAATGATGATAAGATAATAGAAGATCTTAAATTTATAATTAGTAACAGAATGCAAGGTAGATTTGCTTTCAATTAAGCTAAGTACAAAACATGAGACAGGTAATGTTGGAGTGGGAATGGGAGGACCATACTATGAAAACTAGACCAGCAAGCACCTGAATAATAATGAGCTGTAGCCTGTATGTTTCTGTAATGCTGACTCCTCTCTCTCTCTCTCTCTCTCTCTCTCTCCCTCTCTCTCCACAACTTTTTATTTGTCAGTCACTCTCTGTCGTCATCTTGAATCCCCCGCGACCGTAGTAAAAAGGAGTGAGAACCCACTGAACGAGGGATGCCCCTTTTCGTGAATATATTAAATGTTTTACCAAACTCTGCATTAATCAAATTAAATAAAAGAATGAGAACAATATATGCAAGCAAAGGAAAAGTGGAAGACCCCAAAATCCCAAAATTTCC